CGGGTAGGTCTACGTGGTGAGGAGTGGGACCCCTGTCGTGCACCAACACCACGATGGATGACTATCCGATGTATGGGCTACTTGTGGGGTTCTCCCTCTGGGGGACCCTCTGGCGTCTCCTCTTTCCTCTGGGCTTTTGGCCCACTCTCACGTGTAGAGTAGGGCCCACTCACGGTGGGACTTCCACCACCCCCTACACGAAGGAAGAGGAGGAGAAGATGGCCGCCATTCTGCAGGAGAAGGAGGCCAAGAAGAAGGCCTTGAAGGAGGAGTAGGCGGCCAAATTGCAGAAGATAGAGGAAGAAATGGCCAAAGAAAAAGAGAGGTTGAAAAAGGAAGAAGAAGAGAAGCTGAAGGAGGTGGATGAAGAAGAGGAAGGACCGCCACTGCAAAGGAGTAGTGGGCAGCTCAGTAGTAATACCGGTGGAGACCTAGAGAAGAGGATATCTGAATGGGTTGCCAACCTGACTGTGGGAGAAGAGGAAGAGGTTAGTATGTACATCCCGCAGGATCAGCAAGAAGCCGCCATGAAGGCTTGGGAGGCAGAGAAAGACCCTCTGAAACGTCAAGCGTTGGAAGACGAGAAGAGGATGGAATGGAAATTAGCGGTGATGCGGGAGAAGAAGAGGAGAATTGATAAGGCAGCGGATGCGGCAGAGGCCTTAGAGGAAGTGAAGAATATAGAGGCGCAATTAGCCGCCTTTGATCACCCAAATCAGATGCGAGTCATAGCTCGAAGCGTTGCATGCCTAGCACGGGTTCAAGCAGACCAATATGACTTTAGCAGAAGCCAGGACATAGCGGTGCGCTCGATACGGTTGGGCTTTCGAGACTTTGCTCGTGAGCTGGTAGGCGCCGTTGGAGTCGAGGTGGGTCATCGCCTCGACAAGACTGAGCGGTTCTGCGCCGGCGCCATTGAAGGCGTCAAGGCGGCAGCTCCCAAGGAGGAGGAAGCACGTCYTCCTCGTCGGGAGCCTGTCAAAGTCAAGTTCCCCGATTCCTGCAGCGGGAAGAGGGAGGAAAACTTTGACAATTGGGAGGCCAACGTTAAGACCTATGTGCACTTGCAACAGGTCTCCCTATATCAGCAAGTCTTAATTGCTATCCACGCACTGAGAGATGAGGGCGCCAGTTTTGCAAGGTCCCTAGTTCGCGCTGCCAATTGTAGTGATGATCCCGTTGCGTACTCCTCATTTACGTCCCTCACCGAATTTTTGAAGTTGCTGCGCGAGCGATTTGCTGATGTCGCTCGCAGTGCCAAACCATCCATTCTCATAAATGGAAGAGTGCCAGGGCACTCAAGGGTACAATGGATGAGTTGGTGGCCGTCCCTGACCATGGGGTCACAGAGGGCCAGTTGGTCAACCTCTTTTACCGGGCTATGCCCGAAACCTTTCGAGGGCAGTTCTTTGCGAAAAGCGAMGACCCTGCCACCACTTACGATTCCCTTAGTCGTGAGGTGGTGGCTTTTGAAGCAAAGTCAGTGTCTCTGTCCACCTTCTGGCACAAAGACTTGGACAGGGGTAAGCAATGGAAAGGCCGCACTATCTCAGGGCAGGTAAAGACCAAGGATAGCCTTGTCCTGACTTTAGATGAGGGTAGTGTGGATGAGATTCCCTACGACCAGATTGAGTGGGGATTAGAGGAGGCGGACAGCGATGTGGGTCAGGGGAGATCCTACGCTGCTGTCGCGGCCGGAGGGAGGCCGCAAGGAGGACGAGGCCAGGGCCAAGGGGGCCGGGCCTCAGGGAGTCGATTTCAGGGCGATCAGGGGGTTGGCGGCAGAGGAGGAAACCGCCAAGCGGGAGGCAGGGGTCAAGGTCCCCCGCAAAACTCATTGGAGGAGGGCTCCCTATAGAATAGGAGGATGGCACCCAGGGCTACCACATGGTAGGCCTTGGGAATCTTTGGGTCTGGACCAGGCTTTATGGCAACAACGATTGGACCGGGGCCAGTGCATTTTCTGCGGTGACCCGGGCCATATCATCAAATATTGTCCTAAGTATAGAGAGACCCAAACGGCTGCCCCAGGGCCAAAAGGCAGCCGCCGGTAGGGGTAGCAACTGCCCCTACCATTAGGCCATGTGGGGAACATAGCGCTAGCCGGCAGGAGACTCCCACACCACATGTACCTATGG